GAACACTGAGTTAACTGGTTTGTGGGATGAGGGCAGTCATCTCTGCCAGGCTTCTGGCAACTCTCCTCTCAAAACAATGTAGAGGACACCAGTACCTCCACCCAGCCTTGTGTCTTCCGCCTGTCCTTTCTCCGCTTGCTTTCAGAATACTGATTTCTGCCAGAAACATGCGTATGCATACACTACCACACTAGACTCCTGCCACCTGCCCAGGCCAATGTGAATTTCCTGTCTGCTCCACTGAATCTTCTGCCCTGCCTGACACAAATGTAGAAAGATCCATACCCTCCTCGTGTTTGGCAATTTGCTAGGACAATTCACAGGAACGCAGGTAAACACTTTACTATGTTTATCAGCTTATTATAAAGGATGTAACCTTGGAACAGCCAGACTGAAGAGATGCACAGGGCAAGGTTAGGGAGGAAGGAGCACACGGCATCCCCGCCCTCTCTGGATGTGTCACCCTGTAGCACACAGATGTGTTCACCAACTGGGGAGCTCCCCAAACCCATTGTTTTGGATTTTTAGTGGCGGTTTCATCATGTTGCCATAGTTGGTTAAATCATCGGCTATTGGGGATTAATTCCACTTCCAGCCTCTCTCCACTCCCTCCAGGTTGGGGACAAGCTGTAAGTTCCAACTCTTTAATCACAGGGTTTGTTGCTGGCAGCCAGCCCCCATCCTGAAGTATCTAGGTCCCCAACCACCATTTATCTCATTAGCAAACAAGAGACAGCAAAGTCAAGGATTTTAGGAGCTCTGTGTCAAGAATTGGGAACAAAGACCAATATTCATTTCTTGCTCATCTCCCAGGGAGTACTGGGTACATTCTACTACTCCTAGGAGTATGGCCCTTCTCCAGGGCGCACGCACACACACACACACACATGTGCACATGTACATGCATAGCTCTACCCCACACATGTACTTACATGCCCACACGCTATATGTGACACATGTACACATGTGCGTGAACACACACATGGACATACACAGTTATACACTCACATGAGCACACACACATACATGCTAGTGATGTGTCTGAATTTAGGAACATCCTTACAAAATATGAAATGAGAAAGAACCATGACTCCTGGCTCACACTGAGAAAAAGCATAAGATGGGGACAAGGCGCCTAATAATTGTGAAAATCACGAATCTGTGAGGCTCAGTCTTGGTGGGCGCCACTGTCAACCAATGAATGCTTATTTTGAAGGAGTTCTGGCAGCAAGTCAAGGCTTCATTTGGGTAGAGGCAGGGTTATTGTACAATAGGCCAAGTTTCTTTTTGTAAATCAATAGCCAGATGAATGTTTTAAAGCTCTTTCTCCCCAATGCTGTGTAAATAACTTCTGTCATGGTGTTCTGCTGAGGACCACAAGATATGAGTTGCCCACATTGCCCGGGGTTCCTCCAGCAACCCTTCCTTGGGGTCCACCCACCAGCCCTACTCAGAGTCCCTTCACAGACTCACCCACATATGTGAATGCACAATGCTTTTTCCTCAGTGCACATTTGAGGAACGTTCTCTGAAGACCCAAAAAGGTGGTGTGCATATTTACCCAAGCGGAGACTGTCTGCTGCGAACTGTGATTGGAGCCCAAACATGCTCAGAATATGCATGGAGTAGACCGATCCCCACTTAGGGGCTGGGAAGGCATCCTGGGGTTCAGGAAGCACAAGTTGGAGGGGGGAGATGGAGAGACGAGGCACAAAGTTTTGTAGGCACAGAGCTCTGTCCTTTCAGCAACTTGCTCTTGAAGGGGCCTTCTCCTCTGCAATCCACACCTGCAATATCTCTGCCTTGCTGGGAAAGCCTTCCCCGTGGGGTAGGGTGTTGAAATAGGATTTCCTTTAACCACATTGCTTCTGCTGCCAGGTTGCACGCACTAATATGTGACAAAAGTTAATGCATTTCTCTTTTTTACATTACAAATGAGTATGTATCAATAATATAATATTATCTATAGATTATAGCATGTCATTTATTTATTCAAATGATATTCAAATTTGGGGCTAATGGGATTCAAAAAATACACAGATGGAGTATATTCTTATTATCATAGTATCTTTTTATTTCCTTCTCATAAGCCTGGATTTGATAGTCTGAGCACAGAGGTGGAGACATTTTTAAATGATTTAATAGCTGAGATTTTATTTTCCCCAACTTTTTATTATGAAAAAATTTCAAACATAGAGAGAAAGTAAACAAATTATACAACTCACCTCTTCCCCCATTCACCACCTAGATCTAATAATTGCCAACATTTTGTCATATCAGCTTTATGTGATCATATTGTTTATGCTGAATCATTTGAAGATCAGTTGCAAACATCAAGACATTTCACCTTTAAATACTTCAGCAGCCATCTCTTAAAAATAAGGTCGTCCTTCTAGATAAGTGCTGTGCCATTACTGTACCAAATAACACTAACAGTAATCCTGTAATATCACTCAATACTCTATCACTCAATATGGTGCATATTGAAATAGCCTCCAAATTCTTTCATGCTGTATAGTTGGAACAGGGATGGCTCAGGGTCCATACCTGTCAAGAATGTCACTTCTTTTCACTGATAGTAGAACCTTCCCCATCCTTCCTGACATATGCTTTTAGGAGGACAGTGGGCCAATGGACTGTGGATTATGGAACGCCCACGAGGTCAGCATTTTTAGCAAGAATGCAGAATCAGTGGTGTTGTATGCCTGGTTCTGCAGCATGTAATGCCAGATTGATCCAGTACTAGTGATGCTAGTTTTGACCCCTCGGAAGGTGGGGACAGCCAGACTTCTCCATTGAAAATGGAGGCTGTTTTCCTTCCCCAGTTAGCACTGTGATTAACTGGTTCTCCACACCCTCCCCTCAGTGTGCACTAAACTGCTTTGGCTGGCCAAGTTTCATGGAGAGTTGCACAGTGGGGATTTCCTAATCCCTAATTCCCAGTCCTTCTACATTTATGAGCTTACACTCTCCTGTAAGAGCTTTCCTGTGGACCAGAGCCATAGAAGGAGGAGGAGGATTTTATTCAACAGACTCGGGGAAGGCTCCAGGAATAGTGTAGGGGCAGAGAGGGCCGGTCCTCAGAGTCCAGTGTTTGAACTTTAAGACCCATGGTTAGGGAGCCTGTAGGGGAATGGGACATGAGGTCAGCGAGAGGACCGTGTGGGAGAGCCGCTCATGACTGGGAAACTTTGGGGAAAAGGAGTCTTGTCCCAAAAAGGAGTTTCAGGAGTGTGCTCTATATCAAATCCCTCCTCTCCCTTGGGGCACCTGCAGTAAAGAGCCAGTGAAGACCCACAGTATTTCTCTGTTTCTGGCATCCGTAAACAGAAGACCTACGCTAAAGACTCCTTCACTATGGCCAGTATGGCCAGGGGCCAAAGGAGCAGAATCCCTTCTCACCTTTCCGTGACTTGATGCTGTTGGAGTGGAAAAATGGAGGCACAGTCTGTCCCACTGCAATTTGGTCAGAAATGGCGCCTGGCAGCATGCACTAGACACAGGGCCAGTTTGATGGCTGAGATACTTAGGGGGCACCCAGGAGGCCAAGCAGGCTGGACCAGGACTGGACAGCACCCTGCTCCCTAAAGGTTGGGCCCACCTCTGTAGCCCCCTCCCCCATGGTCCCCAGGAGGTGGGTTTCTCCACGTGAAATACCAGAGAAGACCCCCAGGAAGCAAGGGCCTGCAGCTTGCACCCTGTTGCTTTAGCATGCCAGGTGCTCAAGGGCTCCAAGCACTACAAGCATTTGTCCCCACTCTGGGGGCAATGTGCTCAGTGGCGCCCCCTTTGATGGCCAGAAGGCATATCAGGGAAACGTAACAGGAAGACCCTTTACCAAGACCCCTGCCTAGCTCCAAGGACCCCTACGGACCCCAATCCAATAAGCTCAGATACATACAGCCTCGCTTTGAATAACTGCGGTTTCTTTCGAATTCGACCCTTTTCTTTTCATCCTCTAGTCTCTTTCTCCCTCTTCCAGCAGCTTTTAGGGTCGGTGGCCTCTGTGTTCTCTTATTAGGACGTTCACTTTCCAGTTGAATATTTGGTCGCATCCTCCCTAGAGCCTTGCTTTGGAAGTGCTTGGCGTGGGCTCTCTAGCCCCTGCACAGCGAGGGCTGGTCTGTGCGCCGGCATGAGAAGAGCCGGGATGTCGGTCAGGCTCGGATCCGCCGCCGCCAGCGCGCCCTGGGGTCTGCGCCGGGAACCGCCTCTGCGCGGGCCCGGAGGGCGCAAACCCAAACCCCGACGCTAACATCCAAGTGGGCGAACTGACACTTTTAAACGCAAATTATGGTGCTCGCCGTAATGATAACAGTAATAGTAGCAGTCATCGGCTAAACCCTCGCAGTCACCTTGGGGGTGGTTGGGGTGGGGGTCAGAGCTCCCCGCTCAGGCTCAGCCCGGGACAGGGCTGAAGGCACTGGGCGGGGGCGCCGGGCCCCTGGAGGGCGTTCCGGACCAGCAATGGGTACATTAGAGGAGGGTGGAGGGGGTGCGGGGGGTGCGGGGAGTCGGGATGCGGGTGTCCCGAGGCTAAGGGTAAAGAGGCTGCGGGCGAGGCAGGCAGAGAACTTGCAAGAAGAGTTGCTGAGGTGGAGGTGGGGCGCGAGGAGGGAGGTACAGGGGAATTCCGAGTTAGGGAGCAGATCGAAGAGGGTGTGGGGGCTGCACGGGAGAGGGAGGGGGTGGAGGTCGACCCGGCAGACCTCGGGGAAGTGCGGGCTTGGGGGCTAAGGAGATGGAGACCCGGCGCACAGGGATGGGAAGGGGCGCTTGGAGCAGTGGGGAGATGGACACAGGGCGCTTGGGATGGGAACTGGACGCGAAGAGGTGGGGCGAGCCGAGGGGCCTGGGGGCTTCGGGCGTGTGCAGCCGGGAGCAGGAGACCCGGCGCCGGGAGGGGCGGGCCGCGGGGGCGGGGGCCGGGGACTGGAAGGCGGCGCGCAGGCCCCGCCCCGGCGGGCAGCTGGAAAAGTTTGCTGTGCGGCTGGCGCTGGCGGGGCAGAGGCGGAGTGGCTGATCCGGGGACACGCGACGGGGACCCGGAGCCAAGCGCAGCGGCAGCAGAGCCCTAGCAGGACCGTCCCTTCCTCCCAGGCCCGGGAAGCACCCCCGAGACCCAGGACTCTCCCGGGGTCCCATTCCGGCTCGCTTCTGAGGGAGGAAGGGGCGCCAGGATATCGGTGGCCCCAGTGCCCTGTCCAGACTGAGGTGAGCACCCCCTTCGCGCTGGGGTTGCGCTGACATTGGCCCCGAGGCGGGGGAGTGAGGGCAGTGGGACCATGGGAGCAGCCGGGCCCACTTTTCTCCCCAAATTCTACTGATCCCAGGCAGGACATTGACCTGGGTGGGCGAGCACACCACATCAGCATCACCCCCAAACCCAGGCAGTCCCTGCGAGTGACCCAGCCTGGACAGGGAGAACTGGGGTTGTTCGTTTTCCACTACGGTAGGCAGGCGTAGACCTGGACGAACGACAGGGGCCTCTTTACCGAGACTGTCCCTCTTTCATTTCCTTGCACAGTTAAGCAATTAGGCGCTCTCCCAGAATGGGGACTTGGGACTCTGGGCTGTGTGCGCCGGTAGTTCTCTGAGAAAAGCATGCTTATAAATTATGTTGGGCACAAAATGCCATTTTTCTTTCTGTTCCTCAAGCACCCCTGAGCAATCAGGGCTGTCAGTTCTGGGCTGGGAAACAAAAGTCCTGCACTCCCACAATGAGGATCCCAGGTCTATAGGTACCTTCAAAACGCAGACAAAGCCTGGAGAGGGGCGCCCTCATTTTTTGTCCTGATGCAGGAAACTTGTGCTTGTTTGCCGCTTGTAACCCTGGTCTCCAAACAGTCTCTCTCTGGCACTGGACACTCCCAATGACATATTTCTTTGTGGTGTCTTTATATTTAGATGTAAGAGAAGGCCTTCTTGTGGGTTTTTAAATGCAACACACTATTTTGAAGATAAAGAAAGCATAGCTGCATGAACACCGCTTCTGAAAGGTCATTTCAGAAGTGGAAGGCCCTGCACACAGTACTCACCTGCTCTGGAGCTTGGGGGACCCACAGAATTAGGCATCTTCTTAGTCTGGACCTCAGAGTTTGCAGTCATTGTATGTAATCCCATTGTATATAATCCCATGTTATCTTTTCACTGTTTTTTTTTTTCTCTGTTGATAAAAGTCTTGCAAGCAGTGTTAAGAAATCTTAATTCCTAGAAAGTACAGAGCAGGAATAGGTCCTGTGGGTATGTGATTAAGGATGGAGAAAGATGACCTGCCCCAGGGTGGTGGTGGTGCTAGGGGCCCCAGAGCCTACGATTCCCTACTTGATTGATGCAGAACCTAGTGCAAGCCTAAATAATTTTTTTTTTTTTTGGCGTGACAAGAACTGCACTTGGGGTTTTCTCAGTCAGAGGTCACGTGTTTTCCGCTGGCCCAGTGGCACTCATCACCTGACAGCAAAGGTCCACTGCACAAAGTCAGCCCAAAGAGTGTCCCCTGATATGTGTGGGGTGCTTTTTCACAGTTTTTGTCTTTGAAAATGCTACCCTGCTCCAGTGTTTGTGAATTAAGGCCTGACTATGAAATTTCTACCCTGCCTCAATGGCAAAACTTCCCTTTCCTTCTCCAATTTAGTGACTTCTCCAATGCAGACACTCATTTTCCTCCCTCTAGAAATTTTGACACTAATTTGATTGCGTGGTCTCTTCCACCTCCTAAAGATACTTCAATACTTTCTATGTAGGCATACAGTCCTATTAACACAAAAACTGAAAATATGAGCAAGTCTTTTTTTTAAATTATTTTAAAAGATTTATTTATTTTTATACAAGAGCTGGAGTACAGGCCAAAGGCACGGGAAGGTGAGAGGATTCACCAGAGACAGAGTGGGGAGCAGAACAGGCAGGTTAACTAAAGTACACTGCTGAGGGGAGCAGCGGGCAAGACAGGAGAGGTCTGCCACACCATGGGGGAATCTCCCTGGCCAGCTGGGATTGAACCCGCACTGCAGAGGCTGCAGACAGCTTCACAGTGCGATGTTCAACCCGCTGCACCTCCAGGGAGGCCCACAAGTCTTGATCTTGAAAAACTTGTGGAGCTCCCCTGTTGAAGAATCCTTTTTTCTGCCAGGACTTTGGACTGTGACTGGGGTGCTGACTCAGTCAGGAGGCCCCCCTCGGGCCATCTGCTATGTGAGCCAGAACCTCAGTGCTGGGAGCTACTGGAGCCGGTTTCCCTGAATTTGGCTTCAATTCCTTTCTTATCAATTTCAGAATCATTTCATAATATTCTTTGGCCATACACTTTCTGTTGAATTAATTAATTGCCTTGAGGTTTTCTATAAGCGTTTGGAGATAACATGACACATGGAAAGGAATTCTGTCTGGTCTCGGTGATACAGTCAGTTCTCATTATTACAGCTTCTGAGCACGCACCTGCTGTTTGCTTTGTTTTGTTTTCATTGTATTTTTAAGGAATTGAAGTTGTGTCTGTAAGAGACCAGACAGGAGGTGGACCAAATCTGTGAAAAGGCTGTTTGATAGAGAGTGTGGTATGAAGGGTAGGTGTGGCATCTGATGGGTACCGTGAGCCAGAGTGAGAATCCGGAGTCAGTGGACAGGGCTTGCAGGTCTTGAAGACTCTGCTCAATTTCTCTGCCAACAGAGATGTCCATAAAGTTCAGTAAAGTCCCCAAATTAACATTCTAGCATTCTGCTAGCATAGTAGCTAGAAGCTATTTCATTCTAAAGCACACTGGCATTGCTCTTGCCACATCTAGGTGAAGAACACTGGGGAAGGTGGTAGCTTACCCCTAGTGTGGTGCACTGGAATCCCACAACAAGGACATGCAGCCCTTTCTGAGCTGTGTCACTAAGAGGCGTGTCCCTGGCTCTTGGCTTCTGTTTCTACCTGTGTACCTTCAGAGGCAGGTGGGGAACTAGATGGGGTGCAGTATGTGATGCATGCGCTATGTCATTGTGTCCAAGCACGTTCTGGGAAATGGAGGAGGGATAGGCCTACCTATCTTACTGGGCGGAACACTCCTCATTTGCATTTGCCTCCGGGAACTCATATCCTCACGCCTTCATTTGTGTGTAGGAATTCAATCCTGTGCCCTTACTCGGATCAAGCAGAGAGGACACAGTTTGAAAAGCAAAGAGGGTAGAAGACCTCTTGCATCAAAGTAGCCACCTCCAACAGACAAGCCCAAGCACCCCGAGAGCATGTGTGAAATAAGGCTTGCTCTGTGCCAGGGTGGGGCACAACATACATTCCTGGGGCTCCCTGGACAGAACCCAGATCTGTGATGGCATCTGAGCCTTATCTGCAGCCAATCATTCAGACCTGGAGGCGAATTCACTTCCAAGTTCCTGGAGAAGAAAGGACAGAGGTGAAACTTCCTCCCCGGGTAAACCGCTGGAACAGCAGTTATTTCACAGTTGGGCATGTGAGACTCTGCATGGAGCCCCCTGCTGTGAACTACCCTGAAAGCAGTGGGGTCCCTAAGAAAGTCAGAAGCTCATTAGCAAAGGAATTGTCTTAGGCTGCCTAATGGTCTAGTCAATATTTTCTTTCTAAATTCTTTTAAACAGAAAAAAAATCTTGCTTTCCAGGAAATTTTACTTGTTCGTAAATGCTTGTTTTTTAAATTCAGTTTGAAGGATGAACTAGTTGATTTCCCTGGAAGAATGTGCCTTTTTAAAATGCAGCATCCTGCATCTGACCCAAAGAAATTTCTCACTCTTTGCCATGCTTTTCTCTTTTGCAGTTAAGGAAAGAGACAGACCCCAGACTTTATAGAAATATTTTTCTGTATTTTTTCCCTTTTCTTCTTTTTAGAGTTTGCTTAGTTTTCAAATTGGCATGTGTAGAGAAAGTGAATTGTTAGCATAGAAAGCACATCTGGAATCCATCAGCCCATCCCCCACTCTCCATCCTGGTGGATGCTCCTCTTTGGAGTGGAGGGAATGGATGCACAGGGTCTCCCCGGGGTACACACCAAGGAAACTTCTAGAAGTTGTATTATTCCTTTTTGGCAAAAAGGAAAGGTCTTGGTGTTGAAATGCCTTGAGGTAGACTTGAGGAGCCCAGCTTAATGAGAATTAAGTGAGAACTCTTAGGTAAGTGATCCTTGAGTAGAGATAAGGGAAGCCAGGATGTGGGCCTTGTGCCTCCTTGTCCTGGAGAAGCAACAGGCAAATCCTCACTCAGGGTGGCTGGGCGATCTTTGGGGCTACATGAACTGAGTTCGTAAAAGCGAGAACTCTGCAGATGCACATAGCAAAGCCAGCTCAGCTACCTCAGCTCTGCACTGATGGGAGACCACCCTACCGGCAGGCATTTGTCCTGAGCTTTTCCCAGGCCCATGTTCCTCTATGATGTGCCTGACTTCCTGAGGATGCACAGGACCAGCGGGCAGATGTTCACATTTCTCAGCATCCGGCTTTATTTTTAAATGTTCACATGGAAATTTAGTAGTGATTAAACTTTTATAATGTAAAAGGAGAGAGTAGGCAGTGCAGCTCAAAGTAGGCCGTGCAGCCCCAGACACTTAAATAAAACAATAAAACAAAACAAATAAATAAATAATAATAAATAAAATAAAATAAAACAAAACATGAGCCTTTGCAGTGTGTCCACCTCACCTTCTGGTGGCGCTTCTCCAGTTCCCCAGACACTAGTTTATAGAGTAGTCTGCTGAGCCTCTCAGCCTCTGTGGGGAGCCTCTTAGCAAAGTCCAGCCTAGCACCTGCATGGCTCCTGGAAATCCAGAGAGGCCCATGGGAGGCAGACACATGTCACTTCTTGGACACCCTCAACCATCCTGGCAGCACCACTGAGGACAGATATGTGGCAGCCATCAGGACCACAAACAAGAATAAACGTGCCTCATGCATGTGACGGGAGCCCCGGGAAGGGATCCCAGCATCTCCACCATAATTCAGTCAGACCTTGCTGGGAAAAAGGTGCAACTGTACTGACATGTGCCTTTCATGTGAAGGTCAGATGCAGGCAGAGCAGAACTGCCCTTGGGGATGAGAAGCCCAGATCGTGGTCTCATTGGGGATGGTTAGTAACAGAAGGAGTCATGTGGGGGATTGGGAGAGCTGGTCTCATAGAAGGGGGAGTCTTATCTGTGGGCCAGTGGGGCCCACAGTGGCTAGCGCTTCTGCAGTGACCAGACAGTGGCAGGAAATGATAGGTGTGCTGTGGTGGGCTGACAACCCCCCCCCCCCGGGGGGTAGATGTGCGGAAAGGGGCAGAGCAGCCCAACTTTCTTCCCGAAAGCTCAGCTCTGTGGTGTACCTTTCTGAGGTCGAGCTGGTCCATCCGTGAGAGTCTTTTGACGGTGTACGACAATGTTCCGACACATCCATAATCAATCTGGCCTTAACCCAGCACTTAACTCTCAGAATGGAATTTACTTTTAGCGTTAATAACACAGAGAAAATATGCTTTCAGTTTCCAACGAGAGCCGGGTAGCTTCCATTTACGCAAAATGTGGAGATTCACTTAAAAAAAAAGATGTTCTAAAGAAAAAGGCTCCCTGCATGGTGAATATTTAATTAAGGGAAATGATAAATCAAGCATTGGTGGGAAAATATGCTTACCTTCAGATGTATTGCTTTGGCAAGACAATAAATGTCTTAGACATACACTAATTTTTATGGTTTGCTTGCTTTGTTTTTTTCCCCCCTGCTCAATTTTTATCAAAACCCTGCGCATTCAGGGAGGGAATAAAAGAAAAATGTAAGCCTTTGGCGTGCTTGGTCTGCTTGCTCTCTGCTCTGTGCCTGAGAGTTGTCTTGAGGCAGTGTGTGTTCTCCTCCCTGCCTTTGTGCCATGCCTTTCCCCTGAACCAGGACACATGGCTGTGGCGGCCCCATCTGTGTGGGGCAGCAGTCTGTGCCCTGGGGGTGGGGGAAAGCTCACTGGAAACCAAGTCCTGTGCCTGTGCCCTCAAAGGCCAGGAGCAGGCGAGCAGAGTGGGGACGTGGATTCTCTAATGATGCTCAAGGGAACGAATACCCAGATAGGCAGTAATTGGGCGCTTGTTAATGTAGAAGATGCTGGGAGAGGCGCTGGGAACTTCATGGTGTCCTGTGGGTGTTAAAGAAGACACTCCTGGCAGAGAGAATGCAGAATGTCAGCCGCTATTGTTACTGCTCCTCTTATGAAGACAGCGGCTTGCAATTTGTTTTAGAAACCGCAGCCCCAGAAACATCACCAGGGGCCGAGTTGATTCCAGGAAATATTATAGAGCAGGTGCAACTTGACTTGGGGCTTGAAGCACAGACAAGCTTTCGAAGAAAATGGTTGGTAGGGACACAGTGGGCAGGAGCTGGTGGGAGCAGAGCTCTGCTGCCCCCCACACTGACCCAGGAGCCGGGACAACCTGGCTGTGAAGTCTGTTGTCCTTGTCTGGCCTCCATCCAGCGGGCAGGGACCAGTATTGGATAAGCCCTGCCTTCTGTCTGAGGCTTCGAGGTGCCCTGTGCCTGGATGGGCATCACTCGGGGAGGTGGACCCCAGGACTTTGGGCTGCCTCCTTAGGCTCCTCAGCAAAGGGGGAGGCCAACAGGTACTCCTCTGTCCTCCATCATCAACCCAGCCTCAGAATCTGCCTGCTTCCTCCTTTTGAGGTTAGGAAAGGTGACAAACTGACCCTGCTGCCTGGACAGCATAGGGCAGCTGTCATGAGGCTCTGAGGAGGGCCAGGAGGCAGTTCTAGGCAGACCCAGGTGTCAATCACCGCCTGTGTCCCATGGAAGCTCCCATACACTGGGAGCAACTTCTGCAAAGAAGCAGTGGGGTATGTCTTAGAGAACCTGAGCCCCCAAAATTGAGGAGGGTGAGGACCCTGGGAGCAGTGTCAGAGTAGCAGGGAAACCAGTGCAGTGTCACACAGCAGGGAACCTACTTGGTGCCTCCTGTTTTTTACCCACAGAGCATTTGCCAACACTGAGCTCCTAGGTCCTTCCCTGAATGCTCTCTTGGCCTCAATTTGTACCTGGGCATGAGCTCAAGGTAGATAAGGTCTTCAGATTCCACCACACCCCAAAATGCAGAAACCCCTATTGTGGGAGAGTGGTCCATTTGTGTTTCAGCCCAAATTAGGATCATTTATTTGAAACACATAGTGAACTGTTTAAAACTGAAATTTTAAATCTGTGAGTCCACCAAGAGCCATTTCTATCTCACTGTCGATGCCCTAGAGGCCAATGGATGTGCCGCAGGAGGGTGGGAGGTGCCAGGGTCAGTGTGGGAAGACTCAAACCCAGATCCTTGAGGACTTGGCTCTTCAGTTTGTGACCTTCATGACTCACTAGTGTCCCCAAGGTGGTTTCTCTGGACTCACATGCACTGATTTAGGTTTGGGTTTTGGGCAGTTACTGCTAATAATCAGACCTCTGAATTCCAAGGCTCCAGTGCTTGCCACTGCTTGCCTCTCTTCCTCTGGCCTCAGTGGAAGTTGATTCCAAGTCGCAGCATTATATTCCGTCTTCCCTGCTCCTCACGAAGCTGCTCACCAGGGAGAGGCCACTGCTGTGCCCCTCTTCCTCGGGTGCCATGGGGTCCAGCTCAGGGCTCTGCCTGGCACACTTGTGGGCCATCTAGGCCCAAGTACTGGTCCTGGTACCCAGGCAGGCCAGGCTGCCTGGGAGTGTGGGTGCCTCCCAGCATGTGGCTCCAGAGCCCAAAGGAAGTTTCAATCAACTGGGTGTTACACTTGAGTCCATGCTCTGTTTTCCTTCTGAGATTATCCTGTTTCTCTCTTGGTAACTATAAACACTATTTTATCAGTTCCTTTGTGGTAGATGAAGAACTACCCTCTGTGCTTAGAGGTTTCCAGGTAGAAATGTGATCGATGTCTGTGCGTCATCCTGTCTGATTGAGTGATCAGGGTGTTCCCCTAACAAATTTCTTTCCCCAACAGCTGCAGACCCTGTGGCTTCCCAAGGTCTTAATCAGTGTGGACTTGGGCATAGGGGCTCAAATACACCAGCACCCCTAGCTTTGCTCTTGCGTTGACTGGGTGTCCTCCATTTATCTCTTTTCAGGGGCCTGTTCTCAACACCCCAGCTGGCATCTGACCTGATCTCCATGGAAGCCTGAGGCTTTGTCTTCCCCCAAAATGGATGTTCCCGGGGCGCCCTCTGCTGGAATTTGGAGCTAAGTGTCTGTGAATTTCAAGTGATGGCGACAGTGCTCACGCAGCACCCCAGGCCTCTCCCAGAGAATGAGACCCTGTATGAACATTACAACTACGTGGGCAAGCTGGAGGGCAGGCTGAAGGACGCCACCGAAGGCTTCAACATCACCACCATCCTGTTCCTGGTCATCTGCAGCCTCATCGTCCTGGAGAACTTGATGGTTTTGATCGCCATCTGGAAAAACAATCGATTTCACAACCGTATGTACTTTTTCATCGGCAACTTGGCTCTCTGTGACCTGCTGGCCGGAATCGTCTACAAGGTCAACATTCTGATGTCGGGAAAGAGGACGCTGAGCCTGTCTCCTACGGTCTGGTTCCTCAGGGAAGGCAGCATGTTTGTGGCCCTGGGGGCATCCACCTGCAGCTTACTGGCTATCGCCATCGAGCGGTACTTGACTATGATCAAAATGAGACCTTATGATGCTAACAAAAAGTACCGCGTGTTTCTGTTGATTGGGATGTGCTGGCTCATCGCCTGTTCGCTGGGCGCCTTGCCCATCCTGGGCTGGAACTGCCTGCATAACCTCCCCGACTGCTCTACCATCCTGCCCCTGTATTCCAAGAAGTACATTGCCTTCTGCATCAGCATCTTCATGGCCATCCTGGTGACTATTGTGATCCTGTATGCACGGATCTACATCTTGGTAAAGTCCAGCAGCTGCAGGGCAGCAAACCCCCACAACTTGGAGCGCTCCATGGCCCTGCTGCGCACGGTGGTGATCGTGGTGAGCGTGTTCATAGCCTGCTGGTCCCCGCTCTTCATCCTCTTCCTGGTGGACGTGGCCTGCAGGGTGAAGGAGTGCCCTGTGCTGTTCAAGGAGCAGTGGTTTGTGGTGCTGGCTGTGCTCAACTCCGCCATGAACCCCGTCATCTATACGCTGGCCAGCAAGGAGATGCGGCGGGCCTTCTTCCAGCTGGTGTGCAACTGTCTGACCAGGGGCAAAGGCCCCCGCTCCTTGCCTGTCCAGCCTGCTCTTGATCCCAGCAGAAGCAAGTCCAGCGGCAGCAACAACAGCAGCCCCAGCCCAAAGAGCAAGGAAGACCTTCCCCAGGTGGCCACCTCACCCTGCATCACTGACAAAAACAAAACCCTGCAGAATGGCATCCTCTGCCAGTGAGGGTGCTGGCCTCAAGGAGCAGGGATCCTCAGCTCTTCGAGGTTAAATCCTGGGAAGTGGTCACCCGACTCAGCAGACACATACTTATTTATTGCCTGCCTCCCCACGTGGACCCTCGCCCAGCTGGGACAGGGAAATCTGTTGTGCCAACAGCTACTTGGCATGGGTAGCTCTTAAGGAGGGACCTGAAGACTCACCAGTCCGTTCCAGTGTAGACAGCATGCCTGTTTGCTTGGGCTCTGGGGTCTTGCTGATGCCTAGGGCCCCTCCATTGTTCCTGGAGAAGGGAGGCCAGAGGGCAACAGTGCACCCTGTGTTTCTCAGAACCTCAGGTGACGTTTCAGTAACTTTATCTATGACACGCAGAGAATGGATGTCTGTGTGTTTTCTTTTTTGTTACGTAGCCCAGTGTTTTGCTCGTCTGGCATCAGAAGCGCTGCGTGCAGTACGTGGCAGTCATGCACGGGTGAGTCCAGTATGTCCGACTGAAGCACCAGGGACAAGGATTTGCTACAAACACACTAGGGGGACATGTAGGTCCAAGTCTCCTCTGACTTTCTACAAGTCTGTGTTAAGCTGTTTTAAAGGCCTAGATTCCAAGAAAGGGCTTGTACAAGACCAGTCCCAGATTTGGGGGACTGATCCAAAATAGTCCTGCGACAGTGCCCCTGGACAGGTCAGTGTCTGAGGTATCTGGGTGACAGTGAACATGTCGGAGTCTAGTGCCCAAGTGCCCACTTCCCTTCTGCCCTGTGTTCCTGCCTAATTTTAAGTAGACCCAAAAGCCAAAGTACACGTCACGAAAAAGCCAGCCATGGTGTTCAGGGAGCCTGTGTCTCAGACCCACCCAAGAAAGAACATACACAGAAGAAGCTGGGGTCCACCCCCTGACCTGATCCACCTTCCCCTATTGCAGGAAGCAGCTGTCTGTTTAACGTAATGGAAGTTTCTATTAAATTGGGAAAGTTTTGCCAGACAGCACTTTGATCTCATGTTGAGCTGGATTCTGTCTCAGAAAAGCAGCAAGTCAAGACTCCCTGTTGTGGCAGCTGAGTAGCCCAGGCCTTTGGGCAGAGCCCCCAGCCTTCCTGGAGGCCCCTCCACAGAGACTGTTACAGCCACATAAGGAGGGGAGCGACAGCTGGGGTTGCGGATTCTTCAGAGCTATAACTCCACAGGACACTGAGATCTTGCTTCCACGCAGGCTGAACCTGTGTCTCCCCTTTGCCTTATAAAGGGGTTTCTTAGAAGGCAGACATCCTCTTGAGTGCTTTCGCCCGGGGGTTCTACATGCAAATCGGAGGAGCTGCACATATTGGTGACGTCATCAGTGATTTATAAGAACAAACAACCCTCTAAAGGTTACTTGAGTAACCCTCACATGGGAGCCCCTGAAGATTTTTAGGTTCCGTGAGAATTTTGAGTATGGGCCAAAAGAGTTGTCTTATATGTCAACTTTTTTGAAGCAGTAATTGCTCATTGGGTATCTGATCCCTCTTACGAGGCACATTTCCAGGGTAAACATGTACTGATTTCCTCCTTTTTGTTACTGATGAGACCAGTTCTTATTGTAAGGCGATGTCACTGGTGACATTTTGTTGCCTTTAATTCACCGAAAATCAGCTTATTCTTTTATGAAATAGCGTGAGAAAACCCAGGGCATTTCTACAAAAGTTAAGCCATAAGGTACTGGGTTAAGAAAACAAATAAGCAAACAAAATGCATCAGATGGCCAGAGAGTTGTGTATTGCATTTTCACTTAGGTAAGCACATGGTTTTCGAACTTTCTATCATAGTTCTGGTCCAGAGTTCTCCTTGAAATAACACAAAATTTTCAAGGGAGCTGAATGAAACATATGATATAGTAACTGTGCTCATTTGATATATGCAAAAAATAATCCGCTTTCATTCCAATGAGCACATTCCTCCTTAGCCAACACACAGAGCTGGGCATGTGAAAGCCACAGAGAAGCTGTGCATTCGACCTCAGTCACTTAGTAACCCTTACTATGTTCCATGTATGTTTGTCAAAAATAAAACCAACTGCCTTTGTATAAGCCTGTTGTTGGGGGTGTTCATGTGGGCATGGTTTCACCAGGACAACTGGTGGGGTGCACATTGGCATCCCGATTCCTCAACTGGTACCTATTTCTAAACCACTTTCAGAATTGCCATAACCTATGTTCCCCACTAACATAGTTGGTGTTCCCGTGCAACTTCGGTGGCTAGTAGTGCTGTTTCACCAATTTTAGAAGGTTAGTGGGCTGCCCTTTGATGAGAAGAACATCCTAAAGATCAAAGCAGTGGAGGTGTGGTCCAAAGAAAGCCATGGACGTTTGGTTCTGCTCCCTTTGCCACAAGAGAGAATCAATCTGAGTCAACCCTTCCCTGAGTCAACCCTTTCCAGCTTTTTCCTTCACAAGTGATTTAGTTTTAACCTTTCTGTACTATGTTCTACATAAAGAGACACCAATGGAATAACTGTTCTGGCCTTGACATTCATGTTCCCCAACTCAAATGAGGACCACAGTGTTCTGTCCCTTTGATTCTGCCAATAGGTAGCAAGTTGCAGAAGTGAACCTTGGCTTCAGCCAAGATGCCATTTACATTCCACACCCTTGGCACATAGAGTGCATTCACTGTTACTGTGTTTGGTTTTTTTCAAGATTTATTTATTCATGCATATCAGAACCGGGGTACAGGCCATAGGTGTGTGTGTGGGAAGGGTGAGAGGATTCACCAGAGACAGAGCGGGGAGCAGAACAGGCAGACAGACTGAAATACACTGCTGAGGGGAGCAGCAGGTGAGACAGGAGAGGTCTGCCGCCCCATGTGGGTGTATCTCCACAGCCAGCCGGGTTCGAACCCACGCTGCAGAGGCTGCGGACAGCTTCACAGCGCTGCGCTCAACCACCTGCGCCACCAGGGGAGTCCCAGCTGTTACTTTATGTTAAGAAGCCTAAGGAATAACAGCACCTGCATTCTATAGCAAGGTTTCACACCCTCCTTTTCTCCTTTGTGAGGCAACACAAGAGCGGTCATCCAAATCAGAGACTTTTCACAATATCCTTTATTGCCAACAGACTTACATGGACAGTCATCTAAACAATGAATTATTTAGAAAACGGTGTTTCTCTCTCCACCCATGATTCCTCTATGCTAATAAAGAGCCTTTCACAGAAACGTAACAAGGTTTATTTTATAGAAAACTTCTAATTAAATTACCAAGTCCATGCTTTTAAATTGTATCTATGAGTGCAAAACCTCAACACCCAAATGTTTTTAGTATTTAAGTCAAAAGTCAGAGGGTTTGCTACATAATCAGAAATGCACACACCGCTATTCCGAAAATGAAGGCACATTTTCCCATAACCAATGACAAGGAGAAGTGCAGCATTGCCTGAATAGCCGTGACACCCTCTTCTCAGAGCGACACGGGGGATGCCATTTGGCACCTCGCTTGGCTCCCCAGGAATGTAGGGGTGCACCAGGTGCGTCACCAAGGGCTCACAACTGGAAACCACATCATTTCCTGTAGGAGTGAAGTGGATTTGTTGGAGGTGAGGAGGGAATTTTTTGCCAATTGTCTTTGTCACTGTTTTCTCAAATCTCTCAATGTTGGCCAGATAATTTAGGTTTCTCATTTTTCATAGAACAGAGATCAAAAAAGTTGAAATTGGTGTTGTATTTCCACTCCTCAGGGATGTTTAAAAACCAATTCCATTCCAGTATCAAAGTGGAAAGTGGCAGATTGGCAATCAACTGAACAGGGACCTTTACAAATAATTTTGTTTGTTTGTTTCACAAAAGTTAATGGAAAACAGAACACAGTATTTTCAAATAATATTTATCAATATGTATAATCTGCCATCCAAACCCTTTTGAAAAAGTAATAAATATCTTATTATTACACATTAAATTTACATGGAGTTCTCTCCTGTCCTTGGACTGAAACAGCAGTGTTTAATTCTGAATACAAAGAACATTCACGTACTTAATTTTACAATATTTATTCTGAAACAAGTTATATTCAAAAGTCAAATCAACAGAGAACATTCCACTTGCAACCAACACAGAGTTGTTACAGAAAAAGGTAATTTCAATGTTCAAAGATGCATTGGCTCATTCATTTCTGCTTTGCTAATTGTCGCTTGATTCAGTAGTTGCAAACTTTGGTTGTGGTAAAACTGTCCTAGGTGAGTATGAATGAATGATCTCAAACACTCAGGACCACAGCATGCCCTCCATGTGTGTGTGTTTTTCTATCTACAACAGTTCCAGGTGAAACAACAAAAAGAAACTTGAAGTTGTAAGAAGATATTTCATCCCCTGCACAGCCCTCAGTGACAGTAGCTTCTCAGCCTTCAGGGAAGAAGGCTGTCTGTTTTGGGTCTGAATCCACTGATCCAGGGCAGGAGGGGAAACAACCTCACTGCTACTATCTAACACTGGGCCATTTTGTGCACAAGGAGTTTCTACCCTCCTCCTCAGCCCACCTGCTCTGACACCGCCACCCTCTGGGCCTCCACTTTGAAAAGTTTTCAGGCTGTCACCTGGAATGCCCTGTCATGGTCCCATTAACTTGGCCATGGCCTCAGGCGAGTCTTGCTGCCCTACTATGTGGTGTCTGTTTTCTAGCAGAGTACCAACTCAGGCAGGCAGAACACACGTCCCTTCACAGTTCTGTCCCAGGAGCCCAGAGCCTATATGTTAGTTCAGATAAGGCCAAGAGAAAGCTGGCTAGAAAGGTCATCCAGCAGTGCCACATGCACACTGGGAAGACAGCTCTTGTCCTCCAACCACAGTGATAAGGTTCCCTACCCCACACCTGCCCCTTCTTGTTCTTCCTGGGTGGCCTCTGACTTGAGGAGCTGTGGTAAGTACCAGACATCTATCTGGATCTGCTGTCTACCTCCCCACTCTGTCCTCTTTACCCTCATCTGTCTTTCCCTTTCCCTGTCTACACCTGACTGGCTTCTTTTCCCTGCTATCCCTCTTCCATTTCTCACAGTCCCTCTACCCTGCGGCCTTCCTCCTTTCTTGGCACTGGGGTCCCCTCACCCACAGCAGCCCAGACTCCCCTCCATGTCACAGGTGCCAGGACATGTCAGTCCTCACTCTTAAGAGTGCAAACTCTTAACCTATGCTTAACTTTCTAGTCATCCTTATTAAAACTGTTTTTGTTAAAATACAAAAACCCAAGGAGGTCCAGAGGTGCAAATCACACAGTCAACCTGCCTGTGCATACATCCAGACAGATGCACATCTGTGTCACCAATGCAGGTGTACATGTGTGTATGTATATACATACGCATATGTATATATACGTGTGCGATTGACATTCACAAGTCCTGGTATAAAGTTGCAATTTTTCTGGCTGCTATAAATTGTGCCAGTTTTAAAACTGTGTATTTGTTGCTTGCAAACTTATAAATATGTATAAACCCCATTATAAATAAATCGTGGCTGGCAGATGGTATTTTATCTGCAGCAATGATTATATGGAGTTATAAATGCCTATTAATCCTCCACTTTTAAACCAGCAGTATGGACCCTGGGATCTCTGACATGAAGTGACAAGAAAACATCACCATAGATTAGAGAGGAAAGCTATTAGTAAGAGGCAGTTAAGGACAGCAACTCACATCTATGGTGGCTCTGAAAGTCTAGATTTCCCACCAGCATCACCTGCAGTTTATTAGAATGCAAGTTCTTGAGCCTCATCTGAAACTACTGGGTTAGGAACCCTGGGGGGCTCTGATGTTTGTCTTTACTCCAAGGCTATTTTGCAGGAAAGTTTGTCTCTCTGTTAAGAACTCTGAATTCGGGAAATGTGCTCGGTGTGTATGGGGCCCTTCAGGACATGGGGGCCTTCCTTTAGTGATGGGCCAAGTGAGTAGATGCCCGGCTTTCCCCCCACCTGGGAGGTTTAGCTCTGAAACAGGTTCAGCCCTGTCTCATGCAGTCTCCAGGGTGCTGAGTTATCCATGCCCTGGTGACCTGCTCAGCTGCAACCTCCTCGTCTGCTTCTTCCCCTTCCCCACTCTGGGATTGGCACCCAGAGAAACCACATGCACTCATACTCTCCCTTGGGGTCCTTCTGAAGGACCAAAAACTAAGCAAGAGGAGTAGGAACACTTCTTCATCTGTCTGTGTAAATGACCGATGCTGTTATGCACTTTGCAAAGGGAGGCCACCTAAATGTGAAACCCATGGAGGGAAGAGCCACCTGCCATTTTCCATGGGGGGAATGGGAAGCTGCAGGCACAAGCCATAAAGGACCCTGATAAGTCCTGCACTTGGTCCTAGAGTCAGCCGCTGGCATCTGACCCCCTTGGCACACCACCTGGCTACCCCTTCTTCAAGGGAAAATGGGTCCCTCCACCTGCCCTGTACCGGTGCAGCCTCGCTTCTTGTCCTCTGGAGAGCAGTGACAGCTCCAGGATGGCAACATGCTCCAGTAAAGCAGTTTTCCCAGTTCATCTTTCTCAGGACCAAGCTGAAGAGTTTCACTCCAGAACCCAGAGTACTTTTCTGAAGCCCCAGGCCAAGGCTTGTGTGATGGCACTCCCTGGCTGCAGTCTCTCCATGTCTCCCCCTTGTTTTGAGTTGGACTGCCCCTTTCACGCAGACCTTTATAGATGACAGCTGAACACGGAAGGAAGGGCAGACCCATGGAAAGATGAGAGGCACCTGTGTGCCCCCCCCCCAAAGGGCCCACATCTCAAGAGAGCACACATTTGTGGCTGAAGTATCCCAGGAAGTGCCTTCCTTCCTGCTAGCATGCAGTCTCCGACCCCGACATCAGGCTGGGGACGGCACAGCCCTGGGTGCAGGTGGCGAGTCACAGCTCCCAGACCCCCAGCAACAGCCTGGGCCACATGGCTGAGCTGCTGGAGCTGAGGCTGGACAGACACATCCAACACTGCTGGCACTGCCCGAGGAGGCCATGATCCAAGGACCCATGTGGCTGGGCTTCTTATGGCAGCTTAGCAGGAGAAATGGGACCAGGATCCTGGTTCTCAAGCATTGCTTATAGAAGGGAGCCACATGGGGTCTGGCGCTACCTGAAGGGGAAGCTCCGTTTTGGGAGCTGGACAGGCATGGAGCCAAGAGCCTTGGTGGACAGTGTCCTGAGCTTGGGGCTGCACAAAGTGCTGCTTGCTCCATTCCTCTTCCCATGGGCCTGCCCATCCTCCTAAGCCAAGCCCTTCCTCCACCTGGGGCTGGCCCTTTGTCTTCCCTGGAAGCAGTGGGTGGTGCCCTCCCCTAGCAAGAGACCCTCAGGCACTACAGGTGCCTCAAGGGGGCTCCTGTTCATCTACCTCAGCACCGGAGAGATGGTTTTAAACAAGATCGTTGCTTAAAGGAGACCTGCATCAAGGCTGAGCAGATACCAGCACTTTGATGTCTCATCTAAAAAGCCCAAAAGTGGCCATTTAGCATACGTTTCAGATGGGCAGCTGTTTGAATGTGTCTTTATCAGGCTGTCCAATGAGCTGTTCAGCGTGTCCTTGGTCATCAAAAATTGATGCTGACTTAAAACAGCAAGGAGCAGCCCCATGGGGCTCCACAGTGCTCAGCAGGCTGAGAATGTCAGAGACACACTGCCCTGGGTTCAGGACGGTGTGGCGAGAGGGATGATACAGGGGTCTCAGGGCTGCTTGGCAATGGGGCAATTTTAGGACTGCTGGAACCCACCATGTGCTCCCAGTTCACGCCAAGACCTGGGGTCAGTGGCTGGGGGCCATGAAAGGGACAGAAGGTTCCAGCACTGTCCGGTTGCCCAGGGCGGCCCTTTGCACAGTCTCCATGCCCGGGGAGGTGGATGCTCTGGGCACACACATAGTGCTGCTCCCTGGGGCTGGCTGTTTAGCAGCTGGACCTGAATAGGCATGGGGGGCTCGGAGGAGAGACCCAGTGGGGACTGGAAGAGGGCCCTGCCAAGTTTGCCTCGGAGTCCAGAGCTCTAGGGATGCTAAGAGTGATGACAGCCTGCGACCTGTGGACCACATGGCCTTGAGCAGGGTGGGGCAGCATTTGAGCCTCAGTTTCCCCATCTATTTAGGAGTTGTACAGTGATGCCCATCACATGGCACTTGAAGGAAGAAATGAGATGACAGCGTGCGCTCTAACACGCCTTACAGTGGGAGGCAGGGAGACGGAAGTGACTGCCACTGGATGTGTCTGGCTGCTAGGGTGGATACCACTTTCCCATCTGGCACCGTTCCATGGTTAGCAAGCTTGCCATTTGAGCTTTAAAACATGTATTTGGAGTTAATATCAAAACAAAATTTGATCCCCCAGTTCCCTTAATTTTTTAAATTGATTCTCATGCAAAAACCCATAATCTATCAATATTGTATATCTCCAGTGAGACACTGACTTCAAAGCAGAGAGCTACTCAAGCTGCAGATCACAACTCTGTCCATCCCCAAGAGGGGAAAATGAAGATCAAGTGTTCAGGGCTTCCTGTTCCTCACTCTGGTTTCCTACTGTGCTGTGCCCTTGACACTAATATTTGGCCTTACACACCTTCCACTATTGAGAGAAAAGTCACTTTATCTACATATCCCAAGGGCCTCTATACACTGGAGAATGCAGACCAAGCTCCCTGTGCCCCAAATTTACCAGTCCCAGGGTGAGAGCCTGATCCAGACACTGCCCAAATCTCTGGTAACACCCCTCTGTTTCTGAATAATTGGTTACCCATACTGACCCTGAAACCAGAACCCCTCAACTAGTGCCAGATTCTCCATAGAATTCTAGTTCACTGCAGAACATCCCAGAAGATTGAAGCCACTGCCACCTTAGATTCACTGGACCCTCAAGAGACAAAAACTGCAAAGAAGGCCACAAAGGAAGCTATCAACCTATTCCAACTCATCCTCACAGATTAACTCTACCTCATCCTTCCAACCTGGCCACACACCCAAAAGTAGAAATAGGATTTGCATACTTAGCATTTGAAATTTGCAGACTAGTACTCATTAGAGTTTTTCAAATCTATGCTTTATACCTCAATCTTGAAGCATCAACTGTATCACTGTACAACGCTCTGTGTGCAGAGTGACTTTCTGTTGCCCTGTTTAAAGGGTGCCATACCTAGGGGTGGGGTTCACTGGGGTGACGGCACATGTGGTAGATACACTGAGATGGTGCCAGCAAATGGATGAATCCTTTCATCCTTTAAAAGACAGTGTCTGTTAAATCACATGGTCAGCGCAACTCAGATGTGTATTTTTTTTTTAAATTATAAACATTCTCGACTTCCTAATACCAAAAGACCCAGCGGGAAATCAATGTTTTATCTTGAAGGATGGCACCAAGACAAAATGGTGCATGGGCACACGCCCTTTGCAGAGCATTTGGGAAATCTGCTGCAGAGATGACTCGCTTTACCCAGTTGTCATCCCAAAGTGGAACTGCAAAATGCAAGTCCCAAATTTTTGTGTTTCTCCTTGGCTTCAGGCAGAGGAGGTCCCAGCAGGAAGGGTGATATGAACGGCCCCAGGGCTGAAATCTGGGCACCTGCACTTGCATCATCTGTGGCACAACTCCTCAACATGCATTTCTCCACGGAATCTACAGGAGGAGAATTTTGCCAGCAACAGCCACTCCAGCGGCCTGTAATCAAGCCTGTTGGTTGGAAGAACATAGAAACAGACTTGGCCTGACTCCCCTCTGCAGACATGTGTTCCGTCACTCTAAAGATAAAAACGAGGGGAGCATTTGCCAGTCAAGGTCTTCATCAGTGAGGCTTATTTTGTGCCATATTTGGCAGTAAATTGAATCCCAAGACCGCCTGGATAACTGAGGTCAAGAGGGACATTATTTCTGTGCTCAGCAGGCCCTGAAACTGCTAGAGGGATGCAGCTCTGCAGTGCAGCTGCTAGAGCCACCTGGTGCTGGAAACGGGAGCACACAGATGTGATGCAGCGGCCCGGTGGGCAGCCAGGAGGAAGGGGAGGAGGGCACCCACGTCCCCAGGAGTGGCTGCCATTAGCATGCCACGTGTTCTAGGTGCAGAGCTAGACCTTGGGGGCAGCATTTGCCTTGTTCTACTCTAGTTCCATGTCTATTGCCCTTCCTCCAGCTGCTTCTGCTCCTGGTGTTGTGCTTATTCGGTAAAGTTGCAGTAACACCCTCCTAGTGGAATTTCTGGTGGAATGGGTCCGTGGAATTAAATTTTTGCCCAGACAACTACAGTCAAACTTTTTTTCATTAAAAACATACAGCACAGAACATTAGTCTTACATCTTTTTTAGTCTTAAAAAATATAAATATAGAGGGATAATTTGTACAGGATGTATAGGTATGTACACCTTTAATATGCACATGAGAAATTGGAACAAGTTTATGAAACTTGCACTTTACAGAAGTCTTCCTCCTGGGCTTTTGAACAGGGCTTTGTGCCTGCAGGGTGCTGCCTGGTTCCCAAGGCCCCATACCCATCTGCCAAAGAACCGGTCCTCCTGTCCACTGCGGCTGTAGGGGGACAGGCACAGCTGTCAGGTGCTCCTCTCCACAGGCTGCTGGAGGCAGAGCTCACTCCCAGCGGAGACAATGGGCAGGCTGTTCTCCAGGTGATGGTTGATCAGGTGGCTGATGCTGTCGAAAACCCTGTCCTTTGTTCGGATCTATGAAAGACATGGAAGGAAGGTCAGGAAAAAGAGAATATATCCCGCTCAGAGTTCACTTGACCCCTGAACTCTCCCTGAGGGCAAAGAGCAGCCCTGCCCAGCACCTGGGGCTCTCCATCACTTCAGAGGTGGCAACTGCATCTGTCACAGTGAATCAGCCACCTCTGTGGGGCTGTCCCACCTCCAGCAGCCAGGGCTGTGGTGAATCCCCTGGCCCCGCCAGTCTTCCATTTCCTGCTTCCCTTCTGCCTTCCGAGGATCTATCCCAGAAACCCCTCAGTGGTTGTCCTGGCAACTTAGTTCAGGCACCTTGTTAGTACCTCCAAGTCACCTTCCTGCCTCCCTCCTCCCAGGCTGGCTGAGGACTGAACTGGAGGAGGCACCACAGAGTAACCCAGACCCTGCCTTGCTCCAGGAGGCGGCTTCCAGCTGGACTGGGAGACCCTCCTGACCCAAGACCACCACTTGGTGGCAAGGGGATGGGCCACACGACTTGCCCGAGGCCAGAGGTGATCAAATAGTCACCTGAATTTGTATGGTCATTATAGTTGTTGTATGGACAGTGATGGAGGACAGCAGCTTATCCAGCCACTGGGGAGCCCATCCTGTCCTGGGGGGGCGGTTTCTAGGCTCACAATGTCTCGGAGAGAGCCTGCCCCCGGCTTTGCTTCTGCCAAAAGGACAGCAGCACAGGCTCTCCTCACATGGGGCAGGCGTCAACAGCGAGGGCGGCCTGGCTCAGATGCCCATGCTCACCTAGAGAACGGATCAGTACTGACCATATTCTTAATCATTTCAGAAGGAATCTGACAGTAGAAGAAAAGTGAATTCCGAAGACAAAGAGAGTGGAGGCTCAGTGGGAGAATCAAGACCTGGGCATCCTGAAGGGCCAGACCAAGGATGTCTGGGTGCTTGAGAAGTGACTTGGAAGTGTAAAATAAATAACAAATAGGAAGGTATTCTGATTTTTCAAATCCATGACAGAGAGCAGAACAATCTCTGACTATTCCCCATCACAGTCTCCAGATGACTCTGTGACACGGGGGAGGTGTAAATCCTTTTAGTTATTTCTCCTTTTACTGAAAATTCTTATCAGAAATCAGTAGAAATTAATTTTTTCAGTTTATTCATCCAGACTCTAGGTTGTCCACTTCTATTACATGACCATGGAGACCAGGACAGAATCCAAAGCCACTGACTGCCATGTGGGGAATCGCTACCGGCCAGCACATCATGGGTTTTGGCTTGGAATCCTGTCTCTACAGCTAATCAGCCATGTATCATTGGACTCATTACCTACCCTATCCAGCCTCATTTTAAAAGGATGCATTCACTAGACCATGGTTCTCAACCTGAGCGGTGTTGAAACCCCAGGGACTGTGGAAGCACTGACTGCAGACTCCATGAGGGCAGACCCTGCTGGGCCAGATCTGCATCTTGGTGGGTTCCACAGATACTGATACTGCCGGCCTGGTGACCCAGTCAGAACCACTGTTCTGGAAGAGCCCCACTCAGAGTTCTGCTAGTCTGGTTTCTTTTGTTCTCTGGGATGTGGCAGTGCCTGCCTGGTTCATTCAGTCCCTCCAGTACTAGCAGAAACTCTCTACTTGTAAAACAGCCCAGGAGCTCCAAACCAGCCTTCCTCGCCTGCCCAGCAGGAGAAGCAGCAAGCTGTGTGCATTCTCAAGCAACCTCAGTCCTGCCCATGACCTAGGAGACATGCCTGGTGCAATGACGAAAAGGCAGTTTTCACCTGTCCATCTGCCACCACCTGATGGTGCCCCAAGGGCAAGTTACTAAGCTCTCTGGGTCTCCATCTCTCAGGAAAACATTATCACCATAGCCTTACTTCATAGGGCGCTTGTCAGGAGTAAATGACTATTACATGTGTCCTATGCAGCACAGTGCCTGGTTTCTAGTAGTGCTTGGCAAATGTTTGCTGTCCTATTTTTCTTACTATACACAGCAGTTTAAAATTATCCTGGAGGCACCGGCATCAAGAGATATGGGGCAGAGAGTGACATTCGTGAACATCCTGCTGGCACACAGGTGGGAGAAGATACTGTCAGTCCAGGTGGAAGGGAAGAAGGAGTCTTTGGAGATATTTAAGGGATTGGGTCAGTTGTTGGATGCGGAGGATACAAGGGGAGGCCTGATGGCTGAGGTTTGGGGACTGGGTGAGCCTGGGAAAGAATGCAGGGGGCAGGTGTAGTGAGGAGGTGGGAGTGATCTGACCATCATGACGTCTGATTAGACATGGTGGTGAAAGTTGGCCTGCAGGAAGTTAGAAATACCATTTAATGATGCTACATTAACCACTAGAGTTGGTGACAAGATGGTTATATCAGCCCCTCCAAGGATTTACATTGGAACAGCCAAAGTGCTCAGACAGAGGCATCGCTTGACAGTAACTCTGGTTTGGGGGCAGTGGGTTGCACATACATAGCTGCTGCCCTGGGTCTGCTGCTCAGATTTGGCTGCATGCACTGGGAGAACCCCACCTCCAAATTTGGTGCCCAAATGCAATCTAAACCTGGCAGAATGTAGACCCACCCCAGTCACATTGCCGGCTTCTCCAGATTTGAAATGATGGTACATCCTAGATGTCCTTCCTAGACCGTGGCCACAGAACTGGCCCATGTCAAAGAGCCAGGCTTTGGATCTTGCATGACAATTGCTTACAGCCTGCTAATTTATGCCTTATCCCACTTCAGCACTTATTTTCCAACCAAATAGTAAGCCAGCCTTGGATCCCTGCACAGCTGGGATCCTGGACAGCTTTCATCCTCTGCCTTTAAGCCTGTGGTTTCCCTGACCTGCCATGGTCAAGGTGAGGAAGACACTACAGTCTTCCTGCCACCAGCCCCCCATTCCTTCTGGATCTAATGTTCCTTTCCTTCCCAGTTTAGAGGACCGAGAGGCCCCCAATCATCCCCAAGTTTGCCTGAATCTGCAAGGTCTGTTTCTGAAAATAGAAAAAGTGGAGGACTAACTGTGGTGAACAATAAGGAAATTCACAGGAACTATCACCAACCACAGCTCTCGAGAGCCATGTCAAAAGAGCACAGCACAACTGTGGGCGCATCAACTCAGATCCCTGGGTCAAGATTCGCTACCCTGGCCCTGGCATGTTTGCCAAGAAGAGGAGGGCAGGTTCCATATTGATAATTGAGTGAGGAAGAGATCAAAATCTGCCTATGTGTTTTATTTCCATAATTTTGCTAAATTTTTAAATCCTTGATAGAAAATAGAGATGGGTGAACAGCTGATGTTGTATATCATTAAATGATTCTATTTTTATAGGAAAATACGAGTAAAGAAATTCTAATTTAAAAACACAAGGCTAAGTCCTATCCCACTGTCCCCAACTCCATTGAAATGACAGTAGAGGAATAAATTTCTAAAACAAAAGAGGAGGCAAATCACCAGAGACATTGTGGTCTCAACACAGTGTGGGCTAGAAGAAAGGATAGAAGCCTGTGGATATAAAAGTGAGGAGGAGCCTAGAATATACAGGGTGAGGGTGGGGGCCATGCAGAGAAACCCAGTAATGATGGGAGGGAGTGTGCTCCCCCTTCCAGAAGACAGAAGAGAGGTCCCAAGTGGCTGCATCCACATCTCCATTGCCCCTCCTTCCCCTGCGCCTCCTTAAAGTCAGACTTACTTCAGGGGGGAAGCCAGAGAATGTTTATAAAAGAAATTGAACAAACTTCCTGAGGCTAATTAAAGCCATGGGAAGGTGGTGGTGACTGAGGCCAAATGTTCCCAAGAGATGGCCAGCTCTATTCCAAGCCCCCTCTTCAACCCACAGTCCTCTGCTCTGTCAAGCAACAGCTTGTCATCTTCTCATCCCTCCTCCCCTCCATCCTCTCTCATCCTAACACACACACACACACACACACACACACACACACACATTCAGTCCTTCTCCCCAAGTCAATGCTATGAAGGTCCAAAGGGAAAGGGGCCTGTCCATGCTACAGCAGAGGAGACCCACCCCAGGAAAATCAATCCAGCCTGTTGTACTTGAACATCACAGGGAACATGTACAAAGCACCTTAAGAGTGCCAGCATCACAAAGATAAAAATCATAATAAGCAAGCAAATTATTCCTGAAGATAATTTGGGAGGTAGACTCCAAAAAAATAAAACTACTCTTATTAAAAACATCAAAAAGTCAAGAACATACTTCATCCATTAAAAAGAATATGAAAAACAAAGCAATTGGAAAACAAAATTTCTTCTTTCAGAAATTAAACATACAATTTGTAAATGATATATGTAAATATATGTTGTGTGTATGTATATATATATATATATATATACTTGAAGTATGTGTAATACGAAGTTTGGAAGATAGTCAATGGAAAGCATTTAGAATATAGAACAAACTTTCAAAGAAGTGGAAACTTGTGGGAAAGAAGTTACAGAAGGTTCAAGTTCAAAAGGACTATTGCCAACCAGATATTCTGAGAGGAAAGAATATAAAAGGCAAGAAATCATCAAAGAAATAATATAAGAAAACTGATCTGACTTAAGAAAAACAAAATTTTTCAGATTAAAAGGGGTAATCAGGTCTCTGGAAAATGACTGAGTGAGAGATGCATTTAGATTTATGACAATGCAGAAGAGGAAAAAAGAAAAACAAAAAATTATGAGAAGGAAAAGAAAAAGTAACTCACAAAAGAGCAAGAGTCAGACCAACCATACAGCAACAAACAATATAGTAAATCAAAAGTGACTGTAAAATATATTTTCAGACAGATAGTATGAGGAAGCTGATGCTAATGCACTTGCTGTGAGGAAGGCGACTGAGGAAGTACTCCAGTGAAAAGTAAGTGAAAGGAAAGAACAGGAGCACAGAGGACACACAAGAGGCCAAAACACTCCGAGGAGTTCAAAGAACCTATGTCACTGGAGTGATGGGTTTGCTCTAGATATCTGTTAGGCCACATTCAAAGAGGAAGTCCAACTATCTTGATGTGTGCACCAAAAAG